TCGTCAAGGACTTCCCACTAGTAGCTACGCAGGAGCTCTTTCACAGAGTCCAAGGCCATTACCGAGCCGTCTGGAGTCGAAACCTAACCGACAAAGTGCATATTCCAACAGAGTCAATGCTCCCACTGTAGCAAAGAAGTCATTTGGACTTTCCACTGCTATTGCAAGTGAGTCTTCTGGGAGGTAGTGCAACCAGAACCAGAGGGTCCTTATCACGATTGGCAAGACTATCACTATGCCAGCTCCGCAGGGTATATATACATATAACATGCCTCTGTCCAGCTCTTCTTTCTCTCTTCAATGTCCAGTGAAAGGTTGTTCCTCCAGCACGGGCCTCTCGACAGTCAACAGCACAGGATCTTTTCGGTACAGCTAAAATTCCTTCACCCCGCTGAGCTCAACAAAACCACCCGTTATTCCTGTCCCATCTGAAAGCTCTGTGAAAAGGCAAACATTGGCAAAAAGTGTGTTTACAGCCTTGGCTCTGAAGCACCAAAAGCCACAAGTGTCTCCCCTCAGACTGAAGTTGTTAAACCATATACAAGCCAACTGAGTAGAGCAATAATGCAAGGAAGTTACGCTCCAGGTCAGGTGCAGGGCTATAAACGAAGGCATTCCGCCACTGTCCAGAACCCCAAGAGCAATATTTCTCGTCCAGGGACCTCGTAAACTCTTTGTACCCAGATCAGTAGTGAAGTGGGAACTCCTGCCAAGGACTTTGCCCCTGACTCGGTCCACGGCATCCCCCAACGCTTTGCTGGCTCGGCTATCCGAAGTTTGAGAGAACCTGTTGACCAGGGGAAGGTGACGGTCCACAAAATGGAGCAACAGCTCCCAATTGTCGATCTGGAATCCAAATGGAGCTGGTACAACCTGCATCGCAGGTCCCAGAAGGTGGGTATCTAAGTCTTGCAGTTCTGTTACCAAGCTGGAAGCTTTGACCTAAATGAAGATAAATGCCCATAAATGTGTTCATGGTTGGATTTGAACTTTTTTAAGCTAGGAGGATCTAACCCTTTAACCTGCTTTATGAACTTGATGTGAGGGGTAGTCAAAGTTGAGCATCTGGAATGCTGAAGTTTCAAAGGCTACCAGGTTCTGATGCCGCGTCATGGATCCAAGTCCCTGCTTCTGAATGTAGAATACAAAGGCTCAAATATGCACAGTGGGTCCCCTCTGCAGCTCTGTGTACCCTGACTTAAATACCATTGGTTTGTGGATAAACTTTGCTTTAACATTCCCTTCCTGGAAAATCTCAACAAAAATCCATATCTTCTAATTACAGTTGCAAAATGAGAAACCTTTAAAAAAAATTAGAAACATTAAGATCGTGCTTTTCGAATTAAACTTCAATCACAACACAACTGACAATATTCTTTGTAAATCCAGAGAGTTCCACAAATTACCTCGTTTCTTTGATGTCTTTGAGGACAACTGAAATCCTTCAGATCATGGTACTGTATGTGAAGAGGATTTGGTCTCGTTCTTAATAGAATCTTATGCTGCCTTCAGGATGTTTCCAATGTCCAGCTTTTATCTCGAGTTTCTCCAAATAAACAAAGCAGCATTTTCTTTTTCATTCTAAATGAGGTGGTTCCCTTTCTTCTTATCCCTGTGATGGAAATATTTGATATACAAACATGCCAATGCAGGAAAGCAACGCATGGCTTTGTATTGGATAAGAAGATAACTGGTACGAGTCAGTGTGACTGTCAGCAAAACAATTTTGGTACGAGCAAATCGCGTCAGGTGAAAAAAAAAAATCACAATATAGCAGCGTCTAAACCATGTAAGAAAGGGAATAATAAAACCACAGCAAACGTCTTACGAAGATTTAATGTACATTTATTTTTAACACGTGGAACATATAGTATAAAGATTTCATACTGAATAAATGATATTCATTAAGCCAAAAAAAGGGGGAGAAAAGGAATTTACATCAAGTCTTTAGCTACATCATCTGAAATACAAATATGCAGAATTTGCATCACTGGAAAAAAAAAAAAAAAAAATTAAAACTGGTTTCTTCATCGAGGTTAAGTTTCGTCATTCGTGAAGGAGCTCAAATAAAAGCGCAGACATGATTTCTGTTAATATTCTCTACACCCAGACTGGACACAAACTGAAATTTAAAAGTTTTCTGGGGGGGGGGGGGGGGAGGCGATAGAAAGTCGGTGGATATACCCGAACTTCCCCAAAAGAGTGGGGGGGGTGGGGGGGGTTGAAGTAACGGAGCGGGTGGGCGTCAAAGTCATTGCGTGGTGCAGATGATGCGGGGACAGGGGGGGGAGAGGGTGGAGGAATGAAGGGATTCGGGATCATTGATGATTAAAAATGGTGAGGAGCAACAGAAGTCGAGAAAGAGAGAGAAGTGTAATGTACAACATCATATTTACACTGCAGCTTGGACTGCATCTAGCGTTGAGGACCAGTCCTATAGGTGACTTTTTAATATAAGGGTCAAGTCATACAATCAAGGGACAAAGAGAAGAGGTCAGGGTGTTGTAGGTTCACCATACTTTGGGGGGAAAGCCGTTTTCTCTCTTGACAATAACTAAAACTGTTTTTAAAAACTACAGTTTGCTGCCAAGCCAGCGTATCTCAGTGTGAAACAGTATTATTACAGTATGTTTACAGTTTTTAAAGGTGTACAGTACAGAAAAAAAGTCCTACAATCTACTGCACAGGCCTCCCATGACAGATGTCTGTTCACAGCCAATAATGTGGTTCCTGTGGGGCCGAGTATATAGCATCCAAAGTTACAGCAATTATACCACACCACAGTCCATGAGTCTATGTAGCCTCCGAACATGAACCATAATATTGTTTTAGTCTGTGCCCTCCTCCCCCGCCGACCCCTCTGAGGGAGAGAGCGAGCACACGTATCCCCCAAACTCACTGTAAACGAGACAGCAACTTTGGTTACGTTTTTTTTCTCTTTTTTTTTTTCTGAAGATTTTTCTTTTCATAAAAAAACAAAAACAAAAAAAAACAAAAAAAACAAAAAACAAAACAAGTCTGTTCCGCAGGGCAGCTCTCTGTGGTCTATGCCTGGGTCCCGTTCTGCTCTTCTATGCCGCTATCTTTCCATTTCAGACGTTTACAAACCGCAACTACTTCATGATATTCCTTCTTTAAGTGAGAAGCAGGTGTAGAAAGACAGTGGAATCCGAGGTGATTTTGCATAAATTAAAAAAAAAAAAAAAGAAAAAAAGAAAAAAAAAAGAGGACAGTCAGTTTTTTACTCTTCATTCACGCGCAACGGGCACAAACGCAAGCACACGCAGGAAAAAAGGAGGTCGAGGAGGAACGGAAAGAGGCAGAGCTGAAACCCCCCCCAACGGCTGTCATGACTGGCCGATCAGAAACAGTACGTCACAGATTACTTGGGACACCAGAGAGTTCATTAGCGGGGACACCGAGATGTCTAGTAGCCGCGACTCGTACAAAGTGAACTCTGAGTGGTTTTCCTCCACCTTAGCCAGGGCGTGCAGCGCCCGGGCCGCCCGCCGCATCATGTCCACGCTGGTCGGCTCGAACTGGGGGCCGCCCTGCATCTGCAGCAGGGAGCTCTGGCTCTGCTGGTACTGGGTGGCGGCCAGGCTGTCCTCTAAGAAGCCCAGCAGGTTGCCCACGCTGGCCTTCTGCACGGCGATGGCCCGGGCGGCCAGGCTGTCGCCCTGGGCCAGGTTGGCCAGCAGGACCACCGCCATCTCCCGGCAGACCGCCACCTTGCGCTCGCCGACCAGACGCACCAGCGAGCCGTAGAGCTTCTCCAGGCGGCTGAACGGCGGCGTCGCCAGAATGAGGTCCACGTTGTTGTCCTGGATGCTGAGCTTGCTGAGGGTCTCGAGGACCAGTCTCTGGGGGGAGAGGGAGCTGTGCGGCCCGAGCGTGGGGAAGGGATCCAAGGCCTCCGCCGAGGGGCAGACCGCCCAGTGGAGCAGGCCGTCCAGCAGCGGGAGGCATATGCTCTCCGGGTAGATGGAAAGGTCCAGTTGGCCTGAGATGTTCGCCAGAGTGACCAAGCAATTCTCCCTCAGCACCTCCAGGCAGTCCCACCACCACTCGTCCCGCTCGCAGCTCACGCCCTCGTCCTCCTCCTCCTCCTTCTCGTAGGTGACCGGCGCCTGCTTCCGCTCGGGGTGCCGGTGGTGGAGCAGCACCAGGCGGCCGAGCAGCAGCAGGAGGCCCGGGTGTTTGGACATCTCCAGGTCGTTGCCCGGGATGAAGGAGAGGCTCCGGACGATGTTGGAGACGCAGACGCAGCGGCGGGCCAGCGAGTCCTGCCAGTCGGACAGCGTGCTGAGCGGCGTCTCGTCTTTGCTGTGCGGCTCGTCCTCCAGGATCTTGATGTTGCGGCGGCTCTGGAGCTCCGGGTTGATGCTGAACAGATACTTGCCGTTCTCCTTCTGCTCCTCGGCGCCCCCGCGGACCACCTCCTCCGTGACGGACCCCGGGCGTGCGGATAGGACGTCGTCGATGGTGGCAGTGAGCGGCGCGCCGACGGGGGCGGCGGGGGGCGGGCTCTTCTCCGACGGGGACTTGTGAGGCTCGGAGGACGGCGGCGGCTGCTGTCGGGTCTTGTCCTCCGCGCTGCACTTGGGTTTCTCTGTGTTCTCCGTTGAGACTCGCGGCGCCTGGTCCTTCTTGCGGCCCTCGGTGGCGGCCGGCGTGCGTTTCCGCTGCTTGAGGAGCTGCGTCCGGCTCTCGAAGTGGGTCTGGATGTGCTCAGTGGTGTCGCCACCCCCGATGCTCCAGTGTATCAGGCCACTGTCGAAGCTCTGCCGCTGCCCGAGCTTCGACAGGTGGTTCACCAGGAAGGGATTCTTCTTCCGCACCACTTTGATGGGGAGTTTATCGAACTTGCTAGCCTGCTTGGGCTTTTCCGAGTGGACGTTGGGGTCCTGGGAGGACCCTGAGGTAGAGCTATTAGCCTCCTTGGTAGAAGACTCCCGTTCCTTTTCTTCCTCCTCATCCTCTGAAGACTTATCCCTCAGAGAGCTTTCCTCCTCCTCCTCTTTCACGTGGACCAGAGACGAGGCGGCAGCACTGGTCTTGGTTTCCTCTACCTCCTCGTCGTCCTCATCCTCCTCGTCTGTGTCCATGTCTTCTCCCTCGGGCAGGGGGTTATCATCGTCCGAGTCCTCGTCTGCGTTTGGGTCTATTAGGGTGCGCTGGCCGGGGTCTCCTACTTCATACTCCTTTAGGATGCCAAAGATCTCGATGAGGCAGCGTCTGAAGTACTCCACCACCAGCTCAAGGAATCCAGGTAGCTGCGAATCCAATTAATAATACAATAATTAAAAAATAAAATAAAAATCAGCAGATCAACCCCAGTTTGAGCTATGAAGACAAACAATCATAAGTTGTAGGATGTGTGGTGTAGACTAGACAATGACAGATGCAGATTGGAGGCTCTTACCTGACAAAGGTTAAAAGTAGAGATGCTGTTGTCATCGTACAGTAAGATGTTGATGGTGTCCAAGGCCCAAGTGCTTTCAGCTAATAAGCCTGACTTTAGTGACATCATTACTCTCCAAGCCTCAGGAGTGCCTGTGAAGGCAAAAACAGTAACTCAACCAATATATTTTTTTAAAATCCAATAAAAAAACAACACTTTTCTCTTACAAATTCAGGATGGAAACTTTTAAAACATTAAATGAAGGGTATTAAATGGAAACCGCTGGGGACTGAGGTCCCTAACTCAGTGAGCCCGAAATGGAAAGGTGTTTACCAATGTCTTTCATGGTGAGTCGCCTCCGGGGTTTAAGGTGGGGTTGAGAAGCCTCCACAGAGCCAGAGGGGAAGGCCACGTCTCGCCGGATCATGGGTTGCTGCACGGGGGCTTGGCCGATGTGGGAGGCGGGGACAGGAGGTCCGGCTTTCTGGACCTTTATGCCCGGATGCATGTAGGGCGACTTGCTTGGCGACGTCCTGCTCTCCATGGGCCGGGGCATAGGAGCTGGGCTTGACACCTGAGGAATGTGGTTCTGGGAAGTCTGGTAGGTGGATGGTAAGGGTCTGGTCATAGGTGGTCCTGAACCCGCGGGGCCAAAAGGCGGCTGCCGCTGGTTGACGTGGCCGGGCCACTGTCCCTCGTGGTTCATACGTTGGTCTGATGGGATCATCTCGTCGGAGCGGTTAATCCCATGGTACCCCGGGCCCTGGCCTGGCACAGGAGGTCCCTGTCTGTTGGGATAGTTGGGATAGCCCATCTCATTACGGCCCTGCCACACCGGGCCCTGAGGACCGTCGGGACCTGCAGGCATGGGGCTTGCAATCATCTGAGGGGGCATGGGCGATTGGGAGTTTGGGCCACCGGATGATGGTCCTCGCTCCCGTCCAAATGCGAAGGGGAACTGGCCCTGTGGCCCTGGCGGCCTGCGCTCCCCACCAGGATATGCATTGTACTGGTTATACATATCCTGCTGGCCCTGGTGCCCCGAAGACTGTGGCCCTGGCGGCTGCTGACCACTGTATGGAAGGTTATACATTTCTCCCTCATGGCGCTTGGCAGGTGGACCATACCCGCCATCTCCAGGGCGCTTGTAATTCTATTAAGAGACAACATTAAGCACAAAAGTGACGTTAAAAGGCCCGTTTTCAGGGATATGTTTTAGTGTAATTTTGGATGGCAGCATAATTGAGGACATTCCTCATAAAAGTTGCTTCACAGACCAATTCCACACAACAGGCAGTGTTGGAAGTGCTGAACAAAATGTCCTTACCGGTTGCTGCTGTGGATACATTCCTGGTTGTTGATTTGAGTAAGGGCCACCAGGGGGAGCCCCTTGGCCAGGGTATTGATTTGGATATGCATCATGCCTGAAAAACAACAAGTGGCACACCATTACATTTCTCCTCCTCAGTGGATGCAAGCACTGTGCCATTATGGAGTTCCAACCTCGATAATGCTGAAATGTGTCAATATAAGACAGGCAAAATGCTTTCACAAACATTCATCATTTCCTTTTTCACGAAGGAAACAGGCTCTGCCTGCACCGAGCAGTACTGACCGTTGCTGTGGTGGCGGACGGCTTGGCGAGTACATGCCAGGTTCAGCACCAGACGGCATCATGTTGGGCTGAGGAGCTCCAGGACCCATGTTTCCATCCGGGCCCATTCCTGGTTCTTGTCTGTTACCCAAGCAAATCTCTTATCAGTCGTGTGAACTTCCAAATCAAAATGAAATTAGCCGAAGATAGAGCAAACCTCCCACCAAACTGATCATGTTGTTCCTTTAACTTTTTTTTTTACCTTCGGTCGTACCCATACGGGTACTGTTGCCTCTGGCCCATAGGCATGTTGCCAATTGGTCCTGGTGGTCCTCTGTTATACTGTTCCCCCAGTCCGCTGTTCGGGCCTGGCGGCATGAACTGTTCCCCAGCTTTAAAAAAAAAACAGGAAAACCCAAAAAGAAAAGGTTGAGGACTCTTATTTTCAGCTCTGAGAAAAATCCCACAGCATCAGATTTGGTGGCATGGCCGTCACCCACCTTTCCTCATGCCTCCGAAGGGGTCTTTGCTGGACTCGTAAGGGCCCATCCGACCCATCATCTCTGGGCCACTCATCCCAGGCTGGTAGCCCTGAGAGTTGGGAGTCATGGCATTCCTTCTCGAAAAGGCTGGGTCTCCGCCATCAGCAAAGGGGTCCTGCAGATTCACGCTACTCCTGTAGAGCGATATGAGATATAGGAATCTTTTTCAGTATGTCTGTTCCCTTTTCCTGTTAAATGAGTTGAAAGTTGAACGTGTAGACTAAGTATGTGAATTTTTACCAAAAACAAATCCAAACTAATTATTTTCGTAGCTTTTATTCTACATATTTCAACAAATAAATGTCCAATTCACTGTAGGAACCAAAGATATTAGTTCCTATCCTAAATCTTGGTGGAATGAAGGTAGTGCATACTTCCCCACACATTCTGTCCTTACATGACTTTCAATCTTTTTGCTCATATTGCTTCCCATTTCTCTAAAAGGCAGAAATGGGATTTGGATGCTTCTCCCTCGTACCTGACGCCGGGCATCGGAGGCATTTGTGCGTGCGGGGTGGATGCTGGGGTTGGGGGCTTCAGATCTCCCCCCTCTGCCATCGAGCTTGTCGTGGACTGAGGGGTCTGGGGTCCTTGAAGTGATCCAGAACCAGCTGCAAATCAAGAATATAAATGATGAACACCTTGGCCTCTCTTTGCCCCAGAAGTAAAGTGGGGGCACTGATGTCTGATAGCAACGCAAAATGGTTTGTAAGACTAAAACACCACTGGGGGCCTTCTTCAATGAATGTCGCTTTTTGGCTGAAGTATTTCAGTGGAACACGTGTCCAGACGTCCAGCTTTGGACTGCATAGCCAGCTGTTTTAACGTCTCGGTGTCACGGCGAGCTAGCTCTTTCATCCCAACTTCCAAAACCCCAACCTTAAACCACTGGCTCGTGTAGCCGAGGGGAAGCTGAAACCTAAACCCCGACTGACCGATTACAGGCGGGCCCACAGAGGCAGGTGACTGCCAGCTGAGGGTGTGCACGTGACGCTGAGTGATGGTTTGTTTGGGCTGCCGGAGTGTGACATAGTAGCGCTCATCCTTAACTTGAGAGCAGGACTTCTCGCTATTAGCACGGCAGTCTGATGAGTCACAGGTTCCCATTCATTAAACCGGCACACACACACAGAAACACACACACACACACACACAACACAGGGGGTCATTGGCAGGTCACATTTATTCACATCTTCTCACATCACCCTCTTGCCTCTCCAGTTCTCTCACACACACACACGCATTAACTGGCTACCCCCTCCTCCTCCCCCTCCCCCCCTCCCTCCCTCCCTCTGGGCAGGGATTTCCCTCCACTAAAGATGAAGGGAGGAATGGGGAGGGGGAGGATCTCATAAGGACATAAAAAAAAAAAGTAGCGTGGCAGAAGCAGAGTCAGAAAGAGAGGGAATCGTGTGACTTGCACACTTACACACACACACACACACGCACGCACGTGCATGTAAGCCTCTTCCCTCATTCATCATTTCTGGCTCAGTACTAATCTCCAGGGAGTGTTGCTTTGCTACTGCAGCCCCAGGCCAGGCACCAGGCAGCGAGGACATGGCGCTGACGAGGCGTCACTATCGCCAAATCACCTCGTGCCCCATGACGACAACAACAACCGGAGACACACATGCGTGCGTGTGCGCACACGCCCCCTCCCCCACCCCCCACCCCCCATTACAACACGCCGGCACTGACTCAGTGCCCCGTGTCTGACAGCCTGGGACTGGGCCAGACCGGAGCAGCACGTGGTCGCTCCTGGTGTTGTTGCTCCTGGCAGCAACAAGGCGCTGCCCTCCAAAACAAACAGCTTCCGAGCCACAGCGCGGTCCTAAGACGAACCCTCTCCAGTCCTGGCTCGCGCTCCCTCTAACCGGGGGCCAGCTTATGTGCTCACTTTTAATGCAAATACTCAGAGAACATATCTCGCTTATATGCCGCTTTTGGTACAAAGGCTTCCCCCAGAATTAGAGCATTTGTCAAACTGCCCAAAGGATGACTGACAGCAACAACCCCAACTTTTCCTCCAAAATTCAGGTGATATATGGAGTACGGCGGCCACTAAAAGAGATGACATGATAATCACAGCGGCGTTTACCTGGGCTCGGTGGCTGGATCTTCGGCTGGTTCTTTTTCGTATCCGTGTTGAAGAAGTCTGGGGGCGGGTCTTCGCCGCGCTCGATCTTGCACTCGAAGGCGTACAGACACTGGATGTACTGTTTCTTCAGCGAACTGGCCGCGCTGCTGGATGTGCCCACGTTCAGGTTGGTGGCCAGCTCCCGCCACTTCTTGTTTTTGTTCACCTGCACAGCGCAGAAGGAGAGCCGAGCCTCAGAAACCGGGAACGATCAAAAACACATCGACACGCTGTCGTGTCGGCCGCAGGCGAACCTGTGTGAGGCCTCCGATCTCTTTGACCGATATGTAGAGCCTGAAGAGGTCGAGCGGCTTGCGCCCCACAGCAGGGAGATTGTTCATGCCCATGGCCTTCTCCTCAGCGAAGGCCAGGTATCGGTCCACCCAGATCTTCCTCTCCGGCTCTGGGCCAAGCTCGTAGAGCCGAGTGATCTTCTCATTGGTGATGGTGGAAGAACTCGACTTCTGTTAAACAAAACAGAATAAAATCAATAAATCTGGAAGGAAAGGAGTTTACGTAAAACAACAGCGGGAGCACAAGAGCCTTATTTTCCCTTTTCTTACCTTTTTGGATTCGGGTTTGGGAGTCCCGTCCACTTTGTTGTTCATCTTTTGGGCTGGGTTAATTTTTTCCATGCCAAACTCGGCACCAGGGGCCATTCCTAGTTGTTCGTGGATGGAAGGGATTGGAATTATAGGCTAATCTTCCAGTACTTGCTGTGCTATCACAAACACTCTACAAAAAGTACTCCTTCTTACCGGGGGTGTTGTTAGCCATGTTAGCACCCATTGGATAAGGCCCTGGGCCTCCCTGGTTCATCACTCCGTGGATGCTGTTCATGCCTGGGCCATACGGAGAGCCTGCTCCCATCATGCCTGGGGACATGTTAGGATAGCCTGGTGGCCTAAAGAAAATGACGCTGTATTAAAGAGGAGCTGCGTAGGAGGACACAGCTGGTTCATGAGCACAGCATGAAATACACATCTTAGAGCCTTTGAGCTGTAACCTTGGCTTCATGGGCCTCGGCTTTTAAGATTTTGTTGAAATCATAGGTGCCACACCAATGGTCCGACCTATGATGACTGTCTGAGATAGTATCGTTGCTTGAGAGAGACAGGAAAACATCTTCTCTTATAAACTAATGCTTGCTCATTCATTCTGCAGAACGTGCGAGCGCCAAACCGTGACTGATCAGTTTGCACGTGGGAAGAGCCGCTCATTTTTCATGGTGGCACAGATCCACCGTCTCGGTAAATATGACACCCCTCGAGCCCCGGAGACCGTTCCCCTGGAGTGCACCCACCTGTTGTGTATCGAGTTTGCCGGTCCGTGGTGCATGGAGGGGCCGCCGTCCTTCCTGTTCATGCCTGGAGGGGGGCACATGCCCGACCCCACCTGCGGGGGCATGCCGCTCATGTTAGCGGCCATGCCGGGCCCGTAGGGCCGGGCCCCTATTTGCCCGGGACCTATCCTGCCAGGCGGCATGCTTCCATATGGAGCCCCGCTGGCCTGGCCAGGCATGGGGTTCATGGAGCCGCCCATGCCAGGGCCGCTGGGGTAGTTGGCGTTGGGCATCCCCGTGTATCCCGGCTGCCTGGGATAACCTGGAATTGTTACAGATCAACATTCAGACGTGCTACATCCCCTCTCCAAGCGCTTTTGTCCTGGCTGGCTTTTGAGTTTTAGTGTTAAAACATAGAAAAATCTTCCCCTGGTTTCTACCTGATGAGATCAGGGCTCTAAATCCACCTCCCTGTTCTGATAAGCAGCCTGACTAAGCGGGCTTCATCTGGCCCCTGCTGTTTGCTGCTATGACTCATAGCAGATCCTCTACAAAGCCTACATAAATCCATCTGAGACTTCAAAGTGAACAGGTTTCATAAATAATATCGAGTTTTGATGCTTTTTTTAGGAACCCGGCCTTTCTAAGAACCTGAGATAGTCGCGAGATGACAACTGCCAACTCATTCACTGCGTGTTTAGTCTGCGAAAACACAAAGAAGCCTACGTTCTCCAACAGGGCTCCACCACTCCACCTTCTACTTTGTTAAGTGGCACATAGATTCTCAGAAGGCATGGCGACGCAATGCTTCGGCGATGAAGCCTCACCTTGTGGGCCATACTGCGCCCCCTGAGGGCCGTAGTTTCCCATGGCATTATTCTGGGGATAGGGTCCCATCCCGCCATGCATTTGGCCTCCTGAAGACTGGCGTGGAGATAAGGCGGAGCCAGGTTGTCCAGGGGACCCGTACGGAGGCATCTGAGGGTTGCGCATGTACACTACAGGAGATTGGTGGGGGGGGGGGGAGAGAGAAGTTTGAGAATTTTTGGGATCCAAAAGAACTGCCTGGATCAAAGAAGCAAGGCTACAAGTTCTGGGTCCCAAACACACAAAATATGACATGCTGATAAGTAATTCTTTACGCTCTAAGACAGCTGCTGTTACTCTCACTTGACCTGGCACACAGACTCCAAACTCACATTTAAAAGGCACAGCCTTTTAAGGCGTATTAAGAGTGGAGGAGGAACTACAAATACAATAGCTCACTCCTGATGATGATGATCCCGATAATGCTCTACAATACTGTTTTCTTTGTGAGCAGTTTCACTCACCCCTGTCCTGGCCCATGGCTGACTGATTCATGGAAGAGTGCATGAGACTGTCCGACTGGACGCTGGGGGGCCGGGGTGGCATCTGATTACCTGCAGAGCAGCGACACGTTAGCACAGGCGGTCCGGAAGATTTATCGATACGATCTGATATCGATACGATCTGATATCGATACGATCTGATAACGATATCATTTCTCTATATATTATTGTTTCCCCCGCCCGCATTTCAACATTAGCAGGCGGACCATGCAGCAATGACAAGCCAATCCCAGCCTCCCGTTGATCCCGGCATCAAAAACCAGTCATCCGCCCTTCGTTATAGAATAATACCAACATTACTCCGGTTGGAATAAACCCAGTCCTGCTGTTGCTGGTGATCTTTGGGTACCTGGCACAGCAGCGGGGGACAGCGGGCCGCTGCGAGACGGGGTGACGCTCGCGGGGGAGCCGACGGGTGAGGGCGAGGGCCCGCGTATGCCCGGCAGGTGGGGCGGGGTGTGGGGGGAGAAGGGCGACTGGGCCGGGTTGCTCTGCTCGCCCTGGCTGCTGGATACCCCTGAGGTGCTGACGCCCGGGCTCAAGGCGGCCTCCGTCCCCGTGGGCAAGTCATCGATGGAGCCAGAGAGGTCCTGCAGAGACGAGGGCGGAAAACGCGTTAGATTATATAAGACAATTAGCGGTCTATATGTACACATTTTTATCCAAAACCTCATCAAAGCCCATGTAGGAGGGGAATACACTTTAATCTGCACATGTTTTACATAGAATCCAGAAACTCGACACAAACGGAGAGCAGGGCAGAACTCGTACAGCTGTTTGGGTGCTAAAGTGAAGGTTTAAGAAAACAATAATGTGCCTTTCATGGGTTTAAAGCAGAGTGAAGGTTATGCCATACACATCTAAACTAATAACTACATGAGTTGAACTGGTACATATCTCAGTTAATTGTAAAATAGCAAGAGGACGCAAAACTAATTTCCTTCTTTTGACCTCTTCTCATTCTGCTTCTTATATCTGCAAACTTTAGAGTGCAATGAATGCAATTCTTTTACTTCTTGGGCAAAAAACAAAGCAACATTAACATTAACTGCACCACCAGCTGAGAAAAAGAGAGTATTAATTCCTGTTTCATGTCACACAACACCCAGACAGTTAAAAAAAAAAGAAACCGAAACAAACAATTAGCGGACAAGAAATTAGACACACTACTTATTTGCTTTGTTTTAAGACAAAGAGACTAACGTCAAAGGCAAATCTTTAAATAGCTCAATTAGAGGAATATCAATCATTTCAAAAGCAAATAATGCATCACAAATGTAATGCATGTATAATAATGTAATAATATCGGTGTAAAAATGATAATAATAATTTATTTAAAGTCATAACAAGCGAGTGGAAACAGGTAGTTACTAACGTAGTCCAACACCAGAGTGTAGGTGTGTTATTTTTTCTTAAAATAATCCCTTCTTTAAAACAAAAAAAAGCTCTCAATGCTCCAAATAATTGTGTGACTTGCTAAGAGAAAGTGTGTGCGTTTGGGGGGCATTTGAAGCGAGTCATCTCGGGAGGCAGCTGAAATAATTGGTGCTGGGCACGGACTCTTGCGCCATGTGGTGTTGTTATTGAGCCTCCCTGGCTGGAAACACAAAGAGCGGCAGGCGGGCAGGGGAGGCAGGAAGGCATGGCTGTGTGTTTGGAAGGTGAGTGTTTACGCACGGGCTGGTCACGTGGAACACATGTGCGCACTCAGAAATGCAAGCTCATCTGCCAGTCGCATCGAAGGAGGGGAAAAAAAAAAAAAAAAAAAAAAAAGAGGGGGGGGGGGGGGGGGGGAGGGAAAAAAAAAAAGCACACGCACTGGAAGGTGGCCAACTATTCCCATAGAAATCTCACACTCGCAGGCTGGCTGCAGCCCCGAAGCCGGCGGTTTTGCACTTGAAACGGCGCCCGCTGCTATTTTTGGGATGTGACCTGATGGAGGAACCCCAGAGGGAGTGACAGGAGGAGAACGGAGAACGCTGAATCAGAATCCACCCCCCACCCCCACTCCCGCCCCAACCACTACCACCACCACTACTCCAAATCCAGTCTCCACTCTGTCCTCCCTGCATGCACAAACCAAGGACTTTCTGACCTGAACAGGGGTGTGAGGGCCCAAAAAAAACAATTAAAAACAAACACACACACACACACACAGAACGAATAGGGAAGGGTTTATGTGCAAGTTTCACAAATTGTTCTGCAGGCTGATAACCGACTGGTGTTAGCAAATGTAAATAAACGGGTCGGGGGCCAGGCAAACGCCACGCTGGGCAGAAGCCGCTAAGCAGTCGGATCTTTAATGCGCTCAACACAGAGCAGAGCTCAAACAGCATTACATTCCCTGCTTAAACGGCCGTGGCGGGATCCTTTTTCCAGCAGCTCGCGTCATCAGCTAACTCGCGCTTAATGCCTCCCACCCCCTCCTCCACCTCCTTCTCACCCCATCCACCTTTCTTCCACCAGCACCTCTCCGAGTACACATCACATGACCGGTCAACTGACTAAGGCTTGGTCTGGGGCTGCCTAGTGGTCGCAATGACCCAGCCCTCGAGCTGTTGCAACTCAGATTCTTGGAGAGAACTGGGAGGGGGGTCAGGGGTCAGAGGTCAGTTGCAGGAGCCGTGCCTGGAAGTCAGATCTCTGCAGGAGGTTGCTCTCCTTCTGACAACAGACACACGATAGTCACGAGGCAAAGTAGAAACACAGTGGGGGCTCTTTTGAGTCACATAGCATCATTTGAATTGCAATTGAGTTTTGTTGCATTTCTTCTAAGCGGCTTGGAGGTGGACGTCAGTGAAGTAAAGATTTCCTGACGTCAGGTCCTTCAATACAGCGTCCATTGTTCCGTCTTAATTTGGGATGTGGTCTGAACGTTCGGGTGAAACGTGCGGATTTAACCCCGTTAGTCGGCTGTATTCTAATAGCTCCTCTGAGTTCCTAAGATTTAAAAATGAAAAGTTTATTACGCTATGACTTTCTTACGCTTTTTTTTCCTTCATTCAGTGAAGAGTGATCTAAGCACAAGCTAATCTTTTTTTTTTAAAGACTGCTATGGCCAGGTCAGGAACCAAAAAGCATATAAATAAGAGAAAGTAAACAAATCACTGTAATTTCTTTTTTACGAGACAACAAAATATTGAATTTGTATTGCCTTGCCAGCCAGTTGAGCATTTACTTAGGCAACTAGCTAAAAGGCTACTAGCCAGCTAAGTAGCAAAAAAGCTACCAGCCAGCTCATTAGTTAAAAAGCTACCAGCCAGCTAATTGAATAAAAAGGTACCAGCCGGCTAATTATCTTAAAAGCTTCCAGCCAGCTGAGTATTTAATAAGGTAGCTAGCTTAAAAGCTACCAGTCAGCTAGCCACAGGTGTTGGCTAGCAGTGATTCTGGCTAGCAGGCCAGGTATTCATATGGAAGCAGCTGCAAAATTTGTCTTATGCAACTAAAAGCTTTAGAAAGCAACAACCTGTACCATTGCCGATAATTCCAATCATATGTAACCAGTTTCATATATTAGTCTATTATATGTGAATAGTAGTAGATTATAGCTTGTGGATAATGTCCTCCACATTAGGTTTTATAATCATGATTATACTTGACTGCGTCCCTCAAAGTTCTACATGGAAACTAAGGCTGCCTGACTTACTTTTCTGAGAAAGTAGGGGGTTCTCTGTAGATTCAAAGCAGAAGTCCTTTCATTTTCTAGAAAGCTAATTTTTGTCAAGGCTTTTAACACATTAAAACATGTCATGGGCATCTTACCCATCTTTTTACTGAAAGAGTACCTCAGTTCCAATGCCCTTTAAATGTTCTTGGATTATCCACTATACCTCTTCACCTATAACAGTCAGTAGCATGTAATTTTAGAATTAAATAAATAAAATGACGATGTATAAAACTCTACTGACGACGTAAAAGCTTGTTTGAGTTGAGAATTTCAAAGAAACAAACAGGCTAATCTCCCTGGTGTCAAACTGTTATGTGATGGATTTTGTCCCCCTTTACGTTTCAAAAGTTTAGTTTGCAAAAGGTCAAACTCCGGTTATTTCCACTGGGCCTTACCTCTCGAGCCTCACAGCGAGCCAAAGAAGCCTAGTTCCCACAACCTCGAACAACCTACATAAGGAGATTTTTTTCAAGGGATTTCCAAGGGCTCTTAAGTCAACAGGCAGACTGGGAAGTGGATGCGGACTCACTAAATACTATCCGATGATAAGCACCAGTTTGTGCGGGTGGCCCTGAGGAAAAGCTACTGGTGGGTGAATGCCACGCGCAGCAGAATCGCTTACGCAACGGGAACGCTGAGATATTCTCTCGCTCAGCCAAGTGCTGAAAACAAACTGTGGACTACTTTAAGCACAATTTTTAAAGACTCTATCTTCGCAGCAGAAATGAGAACAACGCCACACAAGTCCATGCATAAGCTTTACAGACACAAACGAAGCATAGACGGCTAGTTGGTTGAAATTCTGTTTAAAAATCTTTTAAAAAACCTAAATAAATCTGATCACTGGCGGCTTCAGTTCCTCGGCCTTGGTAGGCGGAAACATTGCACTCTCACACACACGCAGACACACATGAGCTCCTACCAACTCCCACTCTGCAGTCATTGATTTTTTTTTTCCCCCCAGCTCGATGCTGCACAGCACCAGCCTGTTCTGCTGACTGCACAAGCTGGACGGCGAGGGGAGAGGAAAGGAGAGGAGGGGGGGGGGGTGGGGGGTGGGGGAGCAGGCCATCGGTGCTCCTGATGCTGCCGAGGCTCTGCCGCTCAACAAAGTCATTATTAGAAGGCAAATGACAACGTGGGGGACGCGTGGATCGTGCATGGGGAGGAGTTGAGGGGCTGAGCTGTGGTGCGCGGGAGGGTTTGGGTGGGGGGGATAAATGAGGGTCACGGCGGCGTCATTCGCGGCACACATCGGCAGCTGGTGGCGCCGTGACGCAGAGGACGGGATCTCTTTTAGACTGCCGGCGAGGAGAGGCGAGCGGAAGCGGCGAGCTGCGTGCTGGAGAGGAGAGGGCTGCAGTTCTTCTGCGGCGGCCATTTTGTGCTTTTTTTCCCCAGCACTGCTTAACATGGAACTTCGGGGGGCTGAGAACTGCGAAAAACAGGCCTCATCCTTATCTGAGGCATTCACATGTTGAAAGAAAAAAAAAAAAACTTTCTTAAAATCGCTCCTCGATAAAAGAAATTCCTTTTGGAAGTGCTTGCTGTTGAAGAGTGCTGAAAATGGCAGACTTGTATTTAGTGTTCCCACTTTTCCCATATCCTCCACGGCTCCTCTGAGTGTGTGCCTGTGCCGTCTGAGTCATCTGCTCTGCTCGGCTCTCGGCCGTCCTAATGTATTCCATTTGGAGATTACTTCACTGAATCAATCAAGCCTGACCAGAGCCATTAGTCTGCTGAGCCGGCCTCTTCTGTCTCTTTCTTTTCCCTCTGCTTTTTCGGTGGAACGTTATGAGAAGCGGGCGGAGCAGAGAGCGGGCAGAGGAGAGGCTACGCGGTGGCCCTGAGATAATTAAACGTATCTGGAATGTGTCGACCCGGCCAGTGGTGTAACCAGATCGGCGAGGCGGCGGTGGGGGTGGAGGGGGAGGGGGGGGGAGGACGGTGCAGAGTTCAGCGCTCAGTCACACACTTCCCCTGACC